CCTGCCACAACACCAGGCTATTTTTTTTGGTTGCAGCCTTCATTGCTGTTGGCGGGCCGGGCTGGATTCGAACCTGCCACCTTAGGTGTATGTGGCTGGCGCCTTAGCCATTTGAGCCACAGGCACCGAGCCAAGATTTGAGAATTCTTAAGGGCAAAAACTATACTTCTTTCACATATCTTAAAAGCCTTTCCACCTTATATTTGGCAAGCTAAGAATAAATACAGAAATCCCATTAGTGATCAGTGTGGGCAGCAGCTTTTCTGGAGAGAATGTTGGGTGTGGGAATAACCATCAAAGGGCCTACTGCAAAACTGAAAAAAAGAAAAAAAAACCAGCATGAACAGGACATGAAACTAAATGAGAGTTTTCAAACACCAAGAGAATCTTTACTGGATTACAGACTGCAAGACCCCGCCCACTAAGGGACCAGTCCCCTTAGGGAATGCTTCTTCCTTGTCCCGTGATTCTCTGGGGCCGACATCTAAAAATAGAAATCTTTTCCATCAATACTTGTAGAGAACTAGTAGCTATTTGTTGTAAATGGCTCCTTCCCTCCAGCAATACTGTCACCTCTAGCAGCCAAAGACACACCCCAGTGAAAACAGTACTAGGTGCAGGGAGGAGACAGATGCTCACGGTGGCAGGACTCACTTCTGGGGTCGGCTTGGCAGCCCCAGAGCAGAGCTGCTCCTCCTCACAACACCCAGAATGGGATACAGAGAAAAGGGCGACTGCAGAGCTTAATGGGGGGAAATGTTCCCATTTCTGCTTTTTCTCAACTCAAACACTACAGCAGGAAAGACAATCTTGCATGTCTCAGCCTTCTAGAAGCTGAGCCTACCTCTTCCCTCTTCCACCCACAATGGGCCAACCTCTTTTGCTGTGTGACAGATTTGGCCCTACAAATACTAGTAAGTAAAATAAAGTTATATTAGGTAAAACCTTTTAAACTGTATGCAGAGTACACAGAGACAAGGACCACACCACGTTCACAATACTGTTATCACTCAAAACATTAAGAGTCGTATTTGCCAAGTATCAATCTACTCTGTGCAAAACGCTGACCTCGATCCTGTGGTCACAGGGAAAGAAAAGTAATCCTTGCTATCAAGTTAGCACTGGACACCGGAGATCTACTGATTAAAGCTTTGCTGGTATTGAATACTGTAGGAGGAATAGCATGGAGTCTCAAAAAAAAAAAATTACATACAGAGTCAAATTATGTCACCCTTGGTAGAGTGCCATGGTGTCACAGCTCATAGCAATCTCAAACTCTTGGGCCTAAGTGATTGTCTTGCCTCAGCCTCCCAAGTAGGTAGGACTATAGGCGCCTGTCACAACACCCGGCTGTTTTGTTGTTGGTGGTGGTGTTGTCATCATTGTTGTTTGGCAGGCCCAGGCCAGGTTCAAACCCACCAGCCCCAGTGCATGTGGCCAGTGCCTTAACCACTGAGTTACACGTGCCAAGCCTGGACTCTCAGAAGTTTATCTGAATAGAACATTCTACCCAATCCAGCAAAAATTTTGATGAACATGATTAGAGACAGAAAATACACCCCACCCCCACCAAAAATAAGAGAAAGAAAAAAGAAGAAAACAAGTAAATGGCAAAGACAGGAGATTGTGATGGGGCTTTCCCTACAACATTTCACTAAACTTAATACCCAAAAAAGACATTTGCAACCTTGAACATGCACGTGAAACTAATGAACAGTTTACAAACAAACAATCTATTAGAAGTAGAAAATAACATGATAAAAATAAAATGCATACCTAACGGGGTAGAGGAGTTGGAGAGTGGAAACAGAATAAAGGGAAAAGAACATTTGGGGAGATTTCTCAGAAGAGACTTCTCAGAAATCATTTAAACTGATTTGAAGAAAAGGAGTCAAGTGAAATGAATTGGTGGGGCCAAGGGAGGTGGAGGCTATATTCTCCTTGTGGATAGAACATATATATGTGCAAAGGCAGAGAATTAAAAGGAGATAAATTCTACTCGAGGAAGAAGGACAAAGGATCTAGACTCACGGAGAATAGCCACAGATCCGAGGGCAAACCCACCGGGGCTTAAATAACACCAGGGAGACAGAAGGCAATTTTATCCAAAGAGATCGTTGTCTTATCCGGTGAACGGCAACCTCACCTTCCTGTTGGCATCCAGGCTGGAGGCTGGAATCTGGAGGGTAACTTTATATTCTGTCCTTTTATCCAGCTCCTCTGCGATGTAACTAGCTTCTCTCACCAAGAGATTGGCTTTAACAATCTGCTCCCTCAGCCTCATCAAGCTGTTATTCAACGTGGCTTCTCTGTTTAAAATAAAAGGCGGGGGGGGGGGGGATAACACAGAGAGAATCACATCAGAAAATGTGCCTGCCAAGTTTTACAACTGTCTTGTGCACACGGGGAGAATGCTGCGGACACTAGCCCATGCACAGGCTGGCACCAGGAGGTGCCCACGCGGCAAGCTGGCTGGGCCTACGGGTGGTGTTCTGCAAACTTGACTGGGTGGCCAGATCACCTGGGGGAGGGTCCTGATAAACTCACGATTTTGACTCAGTAGGCGTAAGGTAAGGGCCTGAAATCTACAGTTCCATCAATCATTAGGTGACAGGGACGCTGCCTGCCTGCCTTCCAAACTTGGAATGGCATGAGGTTAGTGAAATACAGTCGGCAACATGGAATAAGGCTTATTTTAATGCAGTGCTAATTAGCCCATAGAGATCAAACTTGCAATCTGCATCTCATCAGCACCATGCTTTACCTACCTCAGCTAATCAGTCCAGATAACCAACCTTCTCTTTCTTTCCTTTTTTTTTTTAAAGCATCTACCCAAGCTTCAGAACCTAAAGCATAATATAATGATAAAGTACACTTCTTTAATGAAATCCAAAAGCCACACAAACTGAAAACGGGGCAGCACCTAACCTGGGCAGTTTTAAACAAAGCAATATAAGTTGGTGATTCCCATTTGTTTAAAAAAAAAAAAAATGGTTCTTGACTATAACACTCTTTGTGTTTGTTTTTTTTTTTTCTGAGACAGTGTCTCACTCTGTCACTCAGGCTTGAGTACAGTGGCACGACCATGACCAGAGCTCACTGTAGCCTTGAACTCCTGGACTTAAGAGATCCTCCTGCCTCAGCCTCCCAAAGTGCTGGGGGTACAGGTGGGAGCCAACACTCTTAATATAAATGAGCCATCTCACTGTTCCCACGTGGCACCTTCCCCGCGATGCTGGCATCATGAACTGCACCCCAGCCCCTGTATGCCATCTACCTCTCCTCAGCCCACTGCCTCAGGCGCTGCTGAGCACTGGGCGACTGGAAGGAAAACCTGTCCCCGCTCCGGCAGTTCTGCTTCTCGGGGGACAGCCTTCTGCGGAGCTGCTCCAACTCCTGCTCGTACATCAGCCTCTGGCGCTCCAGCGCCGATCGCTTCTCCTCTTCATGCTGCTGTTCTAGGCTGTTCAGTATCGACTGCATCGGATCTAAACACATTTGTTAAAAACAGTAAGTACTGAATGAAAGGTAAGATACGATAAAATTCAGACGCTCTTCTATACGGTTACGCTGTCTGTCATCCTAACTGCACCACTTAATCAATATCACTAAAAACAATTTGGGGCCAGACAGTGGCTCACATCTGTGATCCTAGAAAGATGGGGTGGGAGGATCACTTGAGATCAGGAGTTCAAGACCAGCCTGAGCAAGAGGAGACCCTGTTTCTACTAAAAATAGAAAAATTAGCCAGACCTGCGGGCTGGCTGTAGCCCCAGCTATGAGGGAGGCTGTAGGCAGGAGGATCATTTGAACCCAAGGAGTTTGAGGTTGCTGTGAGCTAGGCTGATACCACAGTACTCTAGCCTGGGGCAACAGAGTGAGACTTTGTCTTAATTAGAAGAAAAAAAAAAAAAGAAAGAATTTGGAATACACCTCACTTTGAAACCAGATTCTATCAATGAGAACAGAGTGGCCTGACCGTATATAAAGGCAAAAATTAAAGTTCTTATAAATACAATAAAACCAATGACACAAAATAATAGAGTACAGAGAACAAAAACCAAGATTTTCTTCTTCACTGACACTGAAAAGGTCTCCATCATAAACATTTTTTTTTGAGACAGTGTCTCACTTTGTCACTCTTGGTAGAGTTCCATGACGTCATAGCTCACAGCAACCTCAAACTCTTGGGCTCAAGCAATTCTCTTGCCTCAGCCTCCCAAGGAGCTGGGGCAACAGGTGCCCGCCACAACACCCAGCTATTTGTAGAGGCGGCGTCTCGCTCTGGCTCAGGCTGGTCTTGAACTCCTGCGCTCAGGCAATCCACCGGCCTCGGCCTCCCACAGTGCTAGGATTACAGGCGTGAGCCACTGCGCCTGGCCCATCATAAACCTTTTTAACACTCTACCAACCTTAAAGCTCAAATGCACAGCAGATGTTCTCACCATTACTGCCCAGGGCCTTCATGGTCACCTCCATCTGGGCATATTCGTAATTGAAGTTGATTTCACTGGACACCTCGCTGGAGGAGTCTCCGTCCACATCCAGCTGTTCAGAGCTGCTGTCATTCTTCAGAGAAGGGTCTTGTTCCTCATCCTCTCGTTCAGCTTTCTTTTTCTTTTTAGGCAAATTGAGTCTTGGTGAGAAAAAAAAAAAGAGTATTTTTTTTAAATCAAGAGAAACACTCATTCCATTCACTAAATTCTGTTATGGGCTAGAAGGCAAATGGACGCCACAGAAGTACAAGGCGGTTACTGTACCCAGAGGGTTTATATACTATGGTAGTACAGAAAGACACTCACATGCGCTCAAATAACTACAGCAGAAAGTGTGACGTCGGGCCACACGACTGCTACATACAAGCCAGGAGCAGGGAAGGAAGGAAGGTCTGACAGAGTGGAAGCCACATGAGCAGAGTCTCAGATTAACCAGAAAGCAGGGCAGGGGGAACCCCATGAGAAAAGACGTGAAGATGAGAGAAATTAGAGCAAAACAGCAGAGACACACAAAGCCTGGACAGCACACGCCAAAAAATATGGCTGGAGATCAACTTAAACCATGAAGGTTTGCACACTAAGCCAAGCAATTTACACTGTTTAGGATGGAGATAAAAATAGCGCTCTTCGTACCTACTACATTCTTCTAAATAACCAAAATAGCAACTGCCCTCCAGCAAAGGACCTCTGTTCGCTGTCAGAAAGGTTTGACATCAAACTCACACTGACCAGACACAGGAGAACAAGGAGACCAGGACTTCACTTTTATATAACATCCAGCCTGCCTGACCTTGCCGACACAACACGCGTTTGTGGGGAAATGGTGGGTGCAGCCTCAGGTAAGAAACTTTCTCTTTCAGCCTCTCTGGGGCTGAAAGGCCAATTCTAGCAAAGGAGAAGATTGTTCTGCTCCTTCTGACCACCAAGGCAGTCAGGGCTGGCATGGCCCCCGCTGTCCTGCTTTTAATTCTTACGCCTAGATGCCGCTTTGATGGCTGGAGTAGCGTGGTCAATCTTTAGACCACAGGGAAATGCCAAGAATCTCAGGCCAATACTAACACCCATCCTCTTTCAGATTTCTAGTTCTGTCAGGGAAGTAAACCGTCTATTTAAACCACTGCAAATCTGCTGTTACTTGCAGCAGAAAGCACTCCTAAAAAGAAACACCAACCTTACTTTACAGATAAGGAAACTAAAACCACAACTAAAAAGATAAACATGTCAGGAAAAAAAAGAAAAAATCAATGAATTTATGGCAAAAAACTATCATCTTCCATTGGGAAATAAAAAGGAAAAAACAGGAAACACTGTATTTTTCCTGAGTGTACCATTGATATGTCCCTAGAGTTCAAACCACACATGTACTGAATACACACACTATACACATGTATCAAATATATATCATGAACACACAAAGAGTGTATAATTTCCTTGCAGTTTCCTTTTAATATGCATTCTGTATTTCAGAGCATAGTCTTCAATAATCTCTCTAAAGGACATGAACAAGGTCGCACCTGAAGAAATGGTTGTTTCCCCATAATATCCTGTCCCCGTGGTGCAGCTGGATCGGGCTGGAGACAGAAGATCCATTCACAAAGGTTCTGTGGGGAGAAGAGACCAAACGTGAATGATTTTATATTTCAATTTTCTGACGCTACAGAGATCTAGTTACTAGGGGGAAAAACAATTGCCCAAAACAAATCTTGCCCTTGGAGAATATCAATATTTGGATTTACTTCTTTGTTGACTTACCTAAAATGTTTATGGTACTAAATACAAGCAGGTCATTTTATTTTGCTCTGGAGATGATTTCATTTTTCACAAATTGCAGGTTTATTGCTACCCTGTGTTGAGTCTACTGGCCCCAGGTCTCCAACAGCACGTGCTCACTCCATATCCTACAACATCTGGCAATTCTCACAATATTTCAAACTTTTTTATTGTATGTGTTCAGTGATCTGCAATCAGTGACCTTTGCTGTTACTATTTTGATCGTTTTGAGCACGACCAACCACTCCCATGTGAGGGCGGGAGACTTGTCCATCGCTGTGATACCATCCTGGCGGCTTCACTGGCTGGCCACTCCACCATCTCTCTCCCCCGTCCCCAAGCCTCCCTACTCCCTAAGACACAGCAACATTGACAACCGGCCACTCAATAACTAAAATAGCCTCAAAGTGTTCACAGGAAAGGAAGAGTCACTTTAAATAAAGAGAAACAATTCAGCTTGGTGAGGAAAGCATGTTGAAAGGTAAGCTGGGATGAAAGCTAGGCCTCTTCTGTCCAGCAGTTAGTCAAGATATGAATGCAATGGAAAGTTCTTGAAGGAAACCCAGAGTGCCACTTGCGTGAACGCAGGCATGACAGGAGAGAGAAACAGCCTTATTGCTGGTATGGAGCAAGTTCTCGAGGTCTGGATAGAAGATCAAGCCAGCCACAGCATTCCCTTAACCCAAACCTAATTCAGAGCAATTCCTTGAAGACTGAGAGGGGTGAGGAAGACGCACAAGTTGACAGCAGCAGAGGCCGGTTCAGGGTGTTTAAGGAGAGCAGAGCAGCTGCCTGCACAACACACAGGCGCCAGACGAAGCTGCGGAGAGTTCTCCAGACGGTCCAGCCAATGCCGCGCACGGAGGTGGCTACACTGACAGCAGGTTTTCAATGTGGACCAAACAGCCTTCTAGTAGAAAAGATCAGGTCCGTCACAACTACAGAGAAATCAATGTCAAGCTTCAAAGACAGACTGACTTTCTCATTAGGGGCTTTAAGTTGAATCCACTGCTCATTGACCATCCAAAAATCCTAGGGTCCTAAATCAGCCCTCGATGTGCTCAACATATAAAACCACAAAGCCCACACAGCATATCTATTTATAGCATGGGTTACTGAATATTTAAGGCAACTACGGAAACCTACTGCTCAGGAAAAAAGATTCCTTCAACACATCACTACCGGCTGACAACGGGCCCAGTCATGAAGAGTTCGTGTGGACGTATGCAGGGAGATCAATGTTGTTTTCATTCTACTAACACCACATCCATTCTGCAGCCTATCGATCAAGAAATCATTTTGACTTTCAAGTTCTATTCTTTAAAAAAAATAAATAAATACATTTTGCGGACAGCGCCCATAGCTCAGAGGGTAGGGCACAGGCCACATACACTGAGGCAGGTGGATTCAAGCCCAGCCTGGGCCTGCTAAACAACAATGACAATTGCAACAGAAAATAGCTCGGCATTGCGGCAGATGCCGATAGTCCCAACTACTTGGGAGGCTGAGGCAAGAGAATCGCTTAAGCCCAAGAGTTAGAGGTTGCTGTGAGATGTGATGCCACGGCATTCTACTGAGGGCAAAAAGTGAGACTGTCTCACAAAAAACAAACCAGCATTAGGGAAGAAGTTAATTCCAACCCTCATGAATGGCTTTGAGGGCTTCAAGACTTGGTGAAGGAAGTAACTGCAGACGTGGTGAAAATAACATGAGAGCTCGGGTGGGAAGTGGAGCCTGAAGATGCGTCTGAACCGCCGCAATCTCGTGATGCACCTTTAATGAATGAGCAGGTGCTTCTTAGGGATGAGCCAGGAAAGTGGTTCTTGAGATGGAAGCTTCTGGATGAAGAGGGTGTGAACAGTGTTTGAATGACAACAAAGAATTCAGAATATTCCATAAACTTAGTTGATAGAACGGTGGCAGGATTTCAGAGAATTGTCCAATTTTGAAAGGAGCCCTCTGGGTAAGAGTCCATCGCACAGCACCACAAGCAACAGAGAAATCTTTTGGAAAAGGAAGACACGGAAACTTCACTGTTGTCGTCTTATTCTAAGAAACTGTCACAGCCGCCCTGACCATCAGCAACCACCACTCTCATCAGACAGCAAGCCAAAACTCCACCAGCAAAAAGGTGCCTCGCGGAAGGCTCTGACTTCCAGCAACAAAGTACTTTTAAATTAAGTTCTGTGCACTGTTTTAGACATTACACCACTGTACACTTACTGGATCATAGCACCCTGTGCACAGGACGGGGACATGCACTGGGACACCCAAGGTCTGAGTGACTCACGTTACTGTGTCAGTCGGAAACTGACAAGGTGTCCCTGGGTAACAGGTTATTAGTCCCCATCTCAAAGTTCTAAATGTCAGATCGTAATACGTGTGTAGTATGTAGTTAGCGGTCAACCTCCTGGAATCACTGAAACCAACAATGCAAAGATGATAGCAGCACACACTGCAGCTAAAACAAGTATTCCCATCTCCGTGGATAAAAAAGAACCAGTCAACCAGTTAAGACTCTAGAAACAGATTATCAGAAAGGACAAATGAGACCCGTGTTAAATTCTTCTGTAACTTCACAGGGTGTAGAAAGATATTCACATCCTATCGGCATCTGGAAGAGCTATCAATTTCACTGGACTGCTTGAAAATGGAATTCAAGAGCAGAAATGGTGGGTAGAATACTATTGGGAAGAATGTGGACGGACAGGAAATAAATAAAAATGACGCATACCACAGTAAGCTGGGAGACACTCTGGGGACACGGTGTCATTGCCTCTCCCCTGCCCAATGACTCACTAACAGGACACCAGGTACAAATTCTTTAACTTGATATAAAAGGCCCTTCCTTCCACAGGGAAGCCCTGGTTCCCTCCTCCTTTCCTTCTTCTAGAGAGCTCTTAATGCTTTGCAAAACAAAGGGCTTATTTGTGAAACAAAGGGCTTATTTTCCCAGCACTAAACATACTCAGCTTCTCCTCCAAATCAGGAGCTTACCAGACCTACAACCCGGAACAGGGCTCCATCTCTCTCCAGCCTCCAGCACTGTACACAGCAAGCCAAGCCCAGGCTGGTTTCCACTTCCTCTACAAAGGCCTCCGTCATGTCGGCCAAAAGTACCTTCGCTTCTCTAAACTCTGTGAAGCTACGAAGCACTTACCTGGCTTTACACTTCTCATAATTTTTTATGTAAATGCAGGCCCTAGAACCCTGTCTAGACTTCAATCACAAAGTGAGTTTCTTTTTTTTTTTTTTTTTTTTTGAGACAGAGCCTCAAGCTGTCCCCCTGGGTAGAGTGCTGTGGCATCACAGCTCACAGCAACCTCCCACTCCTGGGCTCAAGCGAGTCTCCTGCCTCCGCCTCCCAAGTAGCTGGGACCACAGGCGCCCGCCACAACGCCCGGCTATTTTTTGGTTGCAGCCGTCATTGTTGTTTTGGCGGGTCCGGGCTGGGGATTCGAACCCGCCACCTTAGGTGTACATGGCTGGCGCCTTAGCCGGTTGAGCTATAGGCGCCGAGCCACAAAGTGAGTTTCTAAACTCTAAAAGTAATCTTCATGCTCCTACAATCTGATCGTTCAAAGCATAAGCTCAAACAGTGTAACAGGACGAGAAATCTACTGAAATTAGAAGATTTTGGCCTTTATGACACAAATTCTTCAAATACTATGAGGAGTTTGATAAAGACAAAAACATATTCAGGCTTACTTTGAAAAGCACGGCAGTTAAACCATGATTAGTAAGTAAAAGCAGGACTATCACAACTGTTCTCAAAGGGTCGTCCACATGGGTCCGAGTCAAAACCAATTAATAACAACAGGACAACTTGAACTTGCCCTTTTCCCACTCTGTGCCGTGCACTCCGAGTGTGAGTGTGCCGTGCAGACTGCTCACTCGCACACATCAAGGCTGTGGGACCAACACTACTAGCAGTCACCAGATTACTCACTGCTAGAAAAGAAAAATGTTTTAAGAATGTCCTGATGACACAATAAAAACCATTACTTTTATTAAATATTGGCCCTGAGCACACGACTTTAACATTTCAGTTGACAAATGAGAGTTAGACCAAAAGCACTTTTAACGTCTACCCAAGTAGGACTGTCTCAACGCACACAAACCAGCTTTTCAGATTTGAGGGCTCTGCAACTAATAGATATCTTAATTAAGTAAACTTAAAAGTTAATGAAGGCAGAATGTCCCTTAGGCTGTTGGCCACTAGAGTATTTACTTTCCCTTAAAAATCACTGTGGGCTCGGCACCTGTGGCTCAAGCAGCTAAGGCACCAGCCACATACACCTAAGGTGGCGGGTTCAAATCCAGCCCAGGCCCACCAAACAACAATAACGGCTGCAACCAAAAAATAGCCAGGCGTTGTTGTGGGCGCCTGTGGTCCCAGCTACTTGGGAGGTGGAGGCAGGAAACTTGCTTGAGCCCAGGAGTTGGAGGTTGCTGTGAGCTGTGATGCCACAGCACTCTACCCAGGGGGACAGCTTAAGGCTCTGTTTCCAAAAAAAAAAAAAATTATTGTGACATTAACACTAACTTAAGCACATGCATCTGACAGACATTTTCTCAAAAAAATCAACAAAGTGAGCACATTATTTTGAGGAAAAAAACTGGTGGCCATTTGTTGTCAATGATAAAATTCAACCTTTCAAGTAAGAATTAGAATTTTAGAGAACTATGTCGGTGCCCTCCAGCTGAGACCACTGGCCACGCACATGGCTGGACAAGCTGAGTTTATTACTCGTGCCAAGAGGGCAACTTGGAGACAGACGAGCACCTCAGAGAACTGGTGTTAGAACGGACCTCTCCTGAGATCTGGGCTTTGGGTGGATGACTCACTCCAGACAGGGCCTAGGGAAATGGAGCCCCACACACACTGGGTGCTCAGAAGGTAGGAGTTATCTTGAGACCAGGTATTTCAGAAATCCTCATCTATAAGGGTGCAAAGGACCAGGAGGGAGACAAGGTCCTACCTGGTGGAGAAGAGACAGTCCCTCATGGCCACAGGGACAGGGGGTTGGTAGCGTGTGGGCAGCACGGTGACCATGTCTTTCATCTGTGCTTAAATGAAATGACGGTGTGGCCTGCTCTGCCTTGTTTCACCATCGCCCCGAGGGACTGGCCTGAGCTTGGCATTCTGTGCCATGATTTACCTACGGCCTCAGGAAGAACAGCCTGACCCAGCAGGGAGGGCCAGGCCAGCTCATGCCGCTTCTTTCTTTCTTACGTACCAGATTCTTCCCCACAAGCTTCATAGCTTCCCAACAGTAGAAGACTTTATGAATGAGATCAGTGATGATACGCATAATTTTTTATGTCATATAATGAGACAGATCACCATTTGAGAGAGAATTCAGTGAACCCCTGCCTGTAACAATTACAGATTGACACAAGCAGTGCTGTAACAGAGGAGGAAACAAAGTGACCAGCATGTCATCTGTAAAATGTGACACCTCTTCATCCATGGTGGAGTCCTGTGGAGTCGTCCTGCCACAGACAGACAACAAGGGAAAGGCCCTCGTCCTGAAGGAGCCCACAGTCCAGTGTGGTAACAAAGGTTAACCGCCCAGGAGAAGGCAATGCGAAGCACCAAGGTAACAGGGAGCAGGGAGCACAGCACACACCAAGGGCCCTCCGTTTAGACCCCCAGGGACCTCCGCAAGAGACAATGGCAGAGCTTAACCTTGCAGGTCGGGGGGCAGCCGGCCAAAAGAGAGGCAGACGACCAGGCACAGGCACACAGGAGGGCGCATGGGATTTTCTAGCAAAAGCAGAAGAAAGTCTTCTGGTGTGTGGTGGGTGGGCCAGAGAGTTTAGGGTAGCAGCAGGGGTGCCAATCAAGACTCTACAAGGGCCTGGGACAATTATAAGTGGGACCTTATCTAACAAAGGCAATGGATGTACCCTAATTTTTTTTTTTTTTTTTTTTTTTTTTTTGCAGTAATAGGCCGGGGGCTGGGTTTAAACCTGCCACCTCCAGCATATGGGGCTGGCGCCCTACTCCTCTAAGCCACAGGCGCCACCCTGTGTAACCTAATTCTTTGTACTCTCGATGAATCCCAAACAATAAAAAATAAAAATAAACCCCCACCCAAAAAAAGACTCTCTGAGGGCCTAAGTAAGGCTGTGGTGGCCAATATGGGGGGGGGGGTGGACAGGGGTGGGAGATACCGACATAAAGGCTCAGTAACTAACTGGGTATCTTCACTAAGTGAACTTACAAGCTAACAAGGGCTAAATGTCCCTTACGCTGCCCATCACTGCTGTCCTTTCTCCCTCCGCGACAATAACACTAATTCAAGTGTGTTACCTGGTGTTCTTCTGAGGAGTCAGCATAACCTGGCCCTCTGGTGTGATATCTATAATACAGTGTTCTGGAAGAATTCCCATTCCGCACAGCTGGATATCTTGGGAATTTGCCGACCCTATCAGTGTGTGTTCCTGAAAAAGAAACAAATTCACTCGTTAATATTTTTCTTTTTTTTGAGACAGTCTCACTTTGTCGCCTTTGGTAGAGTGTCATGGCATCACAGCTCACAGCAACCTGAAACTCTTGAACTCAAGTGATTTCTCTTGCCTCAGCCTCCCAAGTAGCGGGGACTACAAGCACCTGTGACAACGCCCGGCTGCTTTTTGACCGTAGTTGTTATTGCTGTTTGGCAGGCCGGGGCTGAATTCCAACTCGCCAGCTCTGCTGTACGTGGCTGGTGCCCCAGCCTCTGAGCGATAGGCGCCGAGCCTAATATTGTATTCTTACATGTACACAAAATGTCATCACCTCCACTGAGCCTTCTGACATCAATCTATTTTACCTTAGCTAAAAGATTTTTTAAGAGGAAATAGAATCCTTGGCTTTCTCTGAAATTCCTTCTATAACTCACAGTTTCTTTAAGAAATAATGTACTCAGTTGAGTTGGACCTTTTAAACTTAAAAACTGTAATTTTATACTCATGTCTGTATGCATTCATTATTTTCCATCACAATCTTCATTGCAAAAATTTTATACTACTATCAGAGCATGAGCCATGTATCAATCATGTACCCAAAACACTGGTTTAAAAACTCCACTTATGGCTCAGCGCCTATAGCTCAACCGGCTAAGGCGCCAGCCACGTACACCTAAGGTGGCTGGTTCGAATTCCCCAGCCCAGACCCGCCAAACAACGATGGCTGCAACCAAAAATAGCTGGGCGTTGTGGCGGGCGCCTATGGTCCCAGCTACTTGGGAGGCAGAGGCAGGAGACTCGCTTGAGCCCAGGAGTTGGAGGTTGCTGTGAGCTGTAATGCCACGGCACCCTACCCAGGGGGACAGCTTGAGGCTCTGTCTCAAAAAAAAAAAAAAAACCTCCACTTACGGCCAGGTGCAGTGGCTTACGCCTATAACCCTAGCACTCTGGTAGCCCCAGGCAGGTGGACTGCCTGCGCTCACAGGTTCAAGACCAACCTGAGCCACAGCAAGACCTCATCTCTAAAAATAGCCAGGCGTTGTGGTGGGCACCTGTAGACCCAGCCACTTGGGAGGCTGAGGTAAGAGAATTACTTGAGCTCAAGAATTTGAGGTTGCTGTGAGCTATGATGCCACAGCACTCTACCAAGGGTGACAAAGTGAGACTCTGTCTCTAAAAAAAAATAATAATAATTAAATAAAATAAAAATAAAAACTCCACTTAAGTTGTGTATCACTTACCTGATTTTGAACAAAATGAGTCAGCTACACAGATAAGAGATATTCAAATATAAAGAGTTTGAAAAGACAAAAATTATTTTATGAAACTCATGGACTCCCCTAGCCTCATAAAAGATATAACAGATAATGTTCTTATCTTAGACCCCCCAATTACTCAGTTCTCTAAGCACCATCTTTTGACACCTACTCTTAATAAAGAAAATTAGGACCAGAGCAATGGAGTCTCTCTTGCACATGTCAATATTTGACTGCCTGTACATGATTAAATGTCGGTATGAACTGGACATGTGCCTGGGCCACCTCCTCTTCTGATGAACCCAGATGAGGGACCAGGTACTGAACACTCGAGGCTTTGTGAGTCATACACAACTACTGAGCCTTGCCCCGGGCGTGTGAAAGCAGACAGAGAATATATCAATGAGTAAGTGTGGCTTTCCAATAAACCCTATTTATGAACACTAAAATTTGAATTTCATGTAACTTTCAAGTGTCTGAAATATTATTCTACCACGTAAGACAATTACAAACCATGTAAAAATGGAAAGGTAAGTTCTTCCCATTGTGCTGAGTACTACAAAAAAATACTGATGAGGAAAAAAACGAACTTATCAATAAGTTAGTACAGAAAACTATCTAGAGAGTACCTGGGCTCGGCGCCTGTGGCTCAAGCGGCTAAGGCGCCAGCCACATACACCTAAGGTGGCGGGTTCGAATCCCCAGCCCAGCCCGTCAAACAACGATGATGGCTGCAACCAAAAAATGGCCAGGCGTTGTGGTGGGCGCCTGTGGTCCCAGCTACTTGGGAGG